CTCCATCAGTGCTCACAGAGGCCCCTGCCTCAGTGGCTCAGAGACTGCGCGTGGCTGGTCCTGCTCATGGTGTTTCTCGCGGTTGGTCCAGAGAGCCCCGGCCCCTGAGACTGTTTCGGGGGACCTTCGGGGTGATAACCACACTCGTGGTGGTGCCAGGAGGCTATCCTCCTCTCTGGTCCTCTGCAGAGATCTCCGCAGCATCTCCAGGCTGATGTGCAGGCTCAGTGCCGACAGCCAATGGAGCCGTGTCTCCTTGTGCTTCAAAATCTTTCTCATGAAAATTGTGTGTTTCAGTCGCTCAGTCGTGTCCGACTCTGCGACCCAGACTGTAGCCTGCCAGGCTCCTCCATCCATGGGACTTCCTAAGCAAGGATATGGGAGTGGGTTTCCTTCTCCAGGGGATCTTCCCAACCCAGGGATGGTACCCGGGTCTTCCGCATCACAGGCGGATTCTTCACAGCCTGAGCCACTGAGGGAGCCAATTAATTCATTTAAAAAGGGATCTGGAGAGCAAGATGTTTGAGAATCACCTGTTTAAACCGGATTCCAACCCAGGATTTGTCTCTGAATGTCTACAAGCAGATACCTATCATGAGGACCTGAGGCTCCTCTTCTCAAAATGGGCAAAGCGGTGCCTGCTTCTGGTGCCCGCTGGGCATGTGACGCTGGAGACAGAACATGACACTGGCACACCCAGCGGGGAAACCTGCGGGGCTCTGGCTCTCCCAGGCCCCTCCATCCTGGGGGAAGCTTGCTAGCTCCCTCCAGGTCCCAGGCACCCGTGGGGTTTGGAGGGACTCTTAGCAGCTCTTCCGAGTCCAGCAAACAAGACCCGCGCAGCCCCTGCCCAGCGCATTCATCTCGCCTGGCACCTTCCCCAGGCGGGCATGCGGCCAGCTCCCTGCGCACACATTTTCCTGCATGTCCAAGGTGTGAGAAAAGTAACACGTTGTTGCTGGTCTTGCTGGAAAAGGCCTGGTTTTAGAGAGCACTGGGCTCTGAGCTTGTCGCAAAGTACGCTATGTGAGTCCTGACCGAAATACCAACTGACGTAGCAGAAGTTTCCTCGCGGACAAAATGCTTTGCTTGGAGATGGACCCCTGGGTGCTGACGGCTGAGCCAGGGCCCTCCAAGGGCCAGGGCCATCCTCACTGCCTGGCTGTTGCCTCCCGGGGAGCCACTGGAGAAAGGCAGTCCCATGGAAAAGAGAATTCAGGCCGGTGACCAGTTACAAAATAAATACACCAAGCCCGCGGCTTGCCCAACTCCCCAAAATAACTATAACAACATATGTTGGAGAAAAGATCCCATTCATAATTCAGTGAAAAATTAGGAATCCTGGGAAGAAACTAAGCAAGGAAGCACAGGACAGGAGACTCCCGCTGTCATCTGAGAAATAAAATCCACCAAGTCAGCGGAGGGAAAGCTGCGACTCTGGGTGGAAAGACATGCTATTTCCAAATGTCCATTTTGTAGCAGAAATACTTGAAAAGGAAAGCAAGTGGGTGGGATCGTCAGAGATGAAAATGAAAATCGTTTAAACCTTGAACTCCGGATGCAAGAATGGAGTGGAAAACCATGTAAAAATCTACAGGTCAGTCTGAAGTTACATAATCATTTCACACATGGAAAGATGACCTTTCGAATCAGCAGGGAAAGACAGCGCCATTTTCAATAAACAGTTTGGGCAAGTGGCCAACCCCTTGAAATGAAATAAAATTAGATTCCTGTTTTGTGTTTCTAGATGGATTAAAGATTCGACTGTAAGATGAAACCAAGAAAACACTAGACGCATAATTCAGTGAATATTTGTGTGATCTTGGGGGTGACGGAGAACTTAATAAACATGAAACCAGAGATTAAAACAATAAGGAAAAGGTAACGGGTTTGACCAGAAAAATTTCAAAACTTCATTGTGTCAATAAATACAAACAGATCTTCGCTTTAGAAACGGACCAAGGAGCTCTTCCAACTTTTCGCCAACACAGGAAGAAAAACACGACTTGCCACACTCATCCAGGCAGCAATTTTCCATCTCCAGCAGTGAAAGCAGACAGACAGAAAAACCCCTGCCCCAGCGGAGCCGACATCCATGATGAGAGACAATCAGTGAGGTGAACAAACAGAAAGAGTCGGCCCCGGGGGACGTCCCTGGCGGTCCAGTGGTTATGAATCCACCCGCCAATCCAGGGGACGTGGGTTCAATCCCTCATTGGGGAACCACAGGGCAGCTGAGCCCACTTGCCACAACCGGGACCTGATGCAGCCACAGAACAATACATAAATAGCAATTATCTTTAAAAAAAAAGGTCACCCACTGAAAACTCAAGCCGAAACCCGAATCAGCGTCTGGAGAAGCTGCCTGTGGCAAGGCAGGGGTGACTGCCTCTGTCTTCTGTGGTCCTTTAGGAGGTCATCTCAGGGGCATCTCCCTTCCTAAACAGTTTCCCCTTCTTCAGTGTGTTTCACCCCTCATGTTACTTCATCCTCGAAAGGCTGAGGGTTCACAGCGTTTCATACAGATGCGTGGAGATGAACGTGTGGTTTTAACTGGTGCCAGGAAGAGGCATCCTGATGGCAAGTGGTCCTTGGAGGGGTCATCTACATTTTAATAGCTTTCTATTTATCTTAGAGTCTACTAGGAAAGCACTGGTTTTCTATTTATGGGAAACCTATGGCATTTCTTTTTCTTTACTTTTAGAAAAAATTTTTGACTGACTCCTGTGGCATGGGAGATGTTAGTTCCCCAACCAGGGCTGGAACCGTGACGCCTGCATTGAAAAGCAGAGTTTCAACCACTGGACCTCCAGGGAAGTCCCTGGCATTTTCTTTTAAATGAGTATGTTAAAAAAAAGAAGTATGTTTAGGTAGGCAGCTGATGTGAGGACCAAGGTTAAGTGCATGATAAAACACGTGGTTCCAACACAGGGCCCGTTGTGACCTTGAGGGAAGTGGCCACTTTCTGGGAGGGCGGCTGTGGCCGGGGCCCGGACCTCCAGGCAGAAGCTCTGAGAGGTCAGGGATCCCTGGCGAAGCTGAGCAGGATGCGGGAGGGGGTGGGGGGTTGAGCCGCAGCAGAAGGGAGGGGGGTCCTTGCGGAGGGACTGGGGGAGGAGGAGGTGTCTTGGCTACTGTGAGACCTCAGAGGGGTCCCCGGGAAGGACCCTCGGCCCCGAGGGCTGATGCTGGGCTCCAGGGTTCCTGTTGTGCCAGTCCACGCAGGGTCACTGCTACACCCAGGGAGCCTCCAGGACTCCCGTGGTCCCTGCCCCCGGTTCGGAGCTCTCTGGCCCTGGGAGGCCAGACCGATGCCCACATCTCTTCCCTGCCCCCGCCAGTGGGGAGTGCAAGCCAACCCTGAAGGCCGCTGATAGGTTGTTAGGCTGGACTTGGCTTCGCTGGGTGTGAAACCAGACCGGGGGCCTTGGTGCAAAGGTAACTGCAAACAGTGGGTGTGCGGCAAGCGGTGAGCAAGAAAGCCTGGGACGAGTGTAAGGAAAGGAACCAGACTCAGATCCAGTGTTTTATGAAGACCCACAGCTCGTCACTCAGTCCTTTTGTTCCCGGTAGCCTCTGCTTATGTTCCTCCTCCCTCCTCCCTTCTCTTCTGTTTTAGAATACATTCAGTTTAGTATCCAGAGAGTTGAGAGCAACGCTTCAGTGCTTTGTGACACAATCCCCCCCGGCAGACATCACAGAGGCCATGCTTGTGAAACACAGCAGTTTCAACAGTGTTGGAGTTGGAACGATTGCCCAAGGCCCACCTGCAGCTACCCGCCCCCCGACGTGTGTGCGTGGGGTCTGCGTTCACGGAGGTGGGTGTCTGGATGGCGGGGGAGCCCTGCAGGCTGCTTGGAGCTGCAGGAATGCACTTCTTCATGGAAGGACAGGATCGGGGGGCAGGGGGCACCCTCAGGACAGCAGGGGCTCCCGGAAGCGTTAGCGGACCAGGACCGGGGGCTATGTTAACCCACCTGCTCATCAGCCCGTTACCCAGCCCCCCGCACCCCCCCCACGCTGGGGAAGGACCACGGCCGCCGGGGCCACAGCCCCCCGAGGGGCAGGTGTGCTGCATGGTTCTGGGGCTCGCCTCGCCTCCTGCCTCTGCTCCACGTGTGTTGGCTGGACTCTGGAAGGAAGACGTTAATGCGTGTCTCAGCATGAATAGTTAAGCCACACTCCTTGGCTGGAGCCTGGCCGGAGGGAGAGGCTCCTGGGACCCCCGGCTTCTCCTGGCTCTCAGCCTTCGCCTGACCACGACCAGTCTCCAGGGCACGTGGCCCCCAGTCTTCATCCTCTGGCGTGTCCCTCCCAGGAGCGAGACCTGCCTCCTTGGTGAGGCAATCTCTCAGAGCTGCACCCCCTGTTCCTACCCTGCCGTACCTTCTCGTGAAAGTGTGAGTCGCTCAGCCATGTCCGACTCTCCGTGACCCCATGGACTGTAGCCCACCAGGCTTCCCTGTCCATGAGATTTCCCAGGTGAGAGTACTGGAGTGGGTTGCCATTCCCTTCTCCTGGGGATCTTTCCAACCCAAGGATCAAATCCACATCTTCTGCACTGGCAGGTGGATTCTTTACCACTGAGCCACCTGGTTGCATCTCTTACAGCCAGGGGCTTTGTGGGGGGCCCTTCCCTCCACACACACATGTGCACGCATATAGGCATGCAATGCACACATACATACACAGCCCCCACAGGTAGACATGCATGCATGCACATACATAAACACTCACAATGCACACGTGTGATACACACACACATCCATCTTTTCACTATACAGGTTAGGTCATTGTTTTTAAAATTCAAACAGCAAAAGGACTAACAGCAGCCCAGGCAGTCACATCTCCCCTGGCTGGCTGCCTCATGGGAGCGTCAACGACCAAGGCCTGAGGCCTGGCTGTTGACCAGGTGGGAGCCCGTCGGGCAGGCCCAGAGCTTCCACAGTGGGTTTGGACACATGACACAGCCTTGCCACTCTGCTCAAAACTCAAAGTAGTAAAGACAACGGACGTCTAATTTTTACAAGCTGGACGCAGATTTCAACAGATAGTACACCAAGGAAGATAGAAGGAGGGCAATCGAGTGCATGAAACTAGCTGGCAATCAGGCAGCTTCAGGCCCTGATGCTGTCCCCCGAAGCTGTTTTCACTGCTCCAGCTCTGGGGTCTTGCGACACGCGTGTTGGAATCAGCCGGTGTCTGTGAAAAGCCGGCTGGGAAGCTGAGTGAGATTGCATTGACTCTATGGATCAACCTGGGGACAAAGGTAACAATGTCTAGTCTTCCGACCAATGATGGAGACTCTCTCTCTACTTACTTGGGTCTTCATTGATTTCTCTAGAACTGTTTTGCAGTTTTTAGCCTCTTTGATTTACCTTTTAGGGTTAGTATTTTTTTCCAACTATAAATGGTGTTTTACGTCAATTTCTGATTGTTGCCAGTATAGAGCAATGGAGTGGGTAGCCATTCCCTTCTTCAGGGGATCTTCCTGAACCAGCTCAAGCCTGGGTCTCCTGCGTGGCAAGCAGATTTTCTTACCATCTGAGCCACGAGAGAAGCCCAAAAGGAGAGTGGCATCTCAGACTGGACTGGCCGGCCGCCCTTCGGGATACTGCACTGTCCCCTGGGCACACACTGTGTCCAATGAGTGCCTGCATGTTGGACGGGGTGTATTCCCAGGGTGCCTGCCACGCTCCACCCTCGGGGCCACCCCAGGGCCACCCCGCAGCCCCTTCGCCCACATGGGCCCCATGTGCCCTCCCCACCATCCCAGCTGAGACGTGCCAGGAGGCCTTCAACCAGAGAAGTCAAGGCCGCTGTGCCCGCGCCTGCTGGGGGCCGGCTCTGCAGTCTGATGCTGGCGGCCGCTCAGCGCAGACCACGGGTGGGCTCTGCTGACTGCTCAGTGCAGACCGCGGGCGGGGCTCTGCTGACTGATCAGAGCAGACTGCGGGCGGGGCTCGGGTGGTGAGGCCGTCAATCCTGGCTCCCCGTCCCAGGATGGCTCATCCGTTACCTGGGATGGCGGCACTGCCTGAAACGGGCCCACCTGACCCCTCACCCGGTAGCTTCTCCGGAATCCTCTTCTGAAGGCAACACCCTCTGGGACAGGCTCACCTATTAGAGAAGGAAAGTTCTCTTCCCACAGGTGGATTGAGAGGGGCCGGGCCCACGGGGGAGGAGCAGGCACCCAGGGCTCCGCCTCACTCGTTTCCATTGGAATAAAGAGGCCAATGGAAACACTGGGCTGGAACAGTGCAGGGAGGTGACCTGGGAAAGTCTGTGTCCAGCACCCAAGAGCAGGACACGAAAGGCAGTGTCCGTGACAGCATCTCCAGGCCACGCAGCCACTTCTGTGACCACAGGATCTGTATACCTCCACACACGTGCGTCCACACCTGTGACCACAGGATCCACACACCTGCACACACGTGCATCCACACCTGTGACCACAGGATCCACACACGTGCGTCCACACCTGTGACCACAGGATCCACACGCCCGCACACACGTGCGTCCACACCTGCGACCACAGGATCCACACACCCGCACACACGTGCGTCCACACCTGTGACCACAGGATCCACACACCCGCACACACCTGCGTCCACACCTGTGACCACAGGATCCACACACCCGCACACATGTGCGTCCACACCTGTGACCACAGGATCCACACTCCTGCACACACGTGTGTCCACACCTGTGACCACAGGATCTGTATACCTGCACACACGTGCATCCACACCTGCCAGGAAGAAGCAGCTCAGTGTGGTCCCAAGAGTGGAGGGCAGAAGTGGGCAGCGCATAAAGAATCGCAACTGCCAGTGGGAGACAATCAAAACAGTAAACACACTCAACTTTGCTAGGAATGCAGGGGGCACAGACTAAAGCAATGGCACCTTTTGAAAAAAACAAACAGACTATCGCTGTCAGAAACTGGCCCCAGAATGCATCACGTTTTGTAAAGTGGTTCTGTAACTCAACGCCGAGAGAGATACAGGACTCGCTGACGGCAGGGATCCCACCCGATCACAGCCTCCGGAGGATGAGTTGGCAATGAATATCAAATTTAATGACACCCTTTGACTCAGATACCTCACCTTCCACATTTATTTGTAAGAAGTTATAGAATAAGGAGACAAACATGTGCCCACTGGGGAGATTTACTGCAGTTTTGTATAGGATGGTGAGAGTTGGATTATAAAGAAAGCCGAGCACCAAAGAATTGATACTTTTGAACTGTGTTGTTGGAGAAGACTTCTGAGAGTCGCCTGAACAGCAAGGACATCCAACCAGTCCATCTTAAAGGAAATCAGTCCTGAATATTCACTGGAAGGACAGATGCTGAAGCTTAAACTCCAGCCCTTTGGCCACCTGATGCAAACAACTGACTCATTAGCAAAGACCCTGATGCTGGGAAAGATTGAAGGTGGGAGGACAAAAGGACAACAGAGGATGAGACGGTTGGATGGCATCACCGACTCGATGGATACGAGTTTGAGCAAGCTCTGGGATTTGGTGATGGACAGGGAATCCTGGCGTGCTGCAGTCCATGGGGTCGCAAAGAGTCAGACACAACTGAGCAACTGAAGTGAACTGATAGGATTGTGAAAACCTGGAAACCACATAAATGTCCTTCAGGAATGGATCTACCAAGTAAATTATGATGCAGCCACTTCTAGGAAGAGTAGGCGATTCTTGTAAATGACAGCTACTAACCTGTCGTGTTGTTCAGCTGCTAAGTCAGATCTGACTCTTTGTGACCCCATGGACTGCAACGTGTCAGGCTCCTTTTGTCCTCCACTATTTCCCCAAATTTGCTCACACTCATGTCCATTGAGTCGGTGATGCCATCCAACCATCTCATCCTCTGTCGTCCCCTTCTCCTCCCACCTTCAATCTTTCCCAGCATCAGGGTCTTTGCTAATGAGTCAGTTGTTTGCATCAGGTGGCCAAAGGACTGGAGTTTCAGCTTCAGCATCTGTCCTTCCAGTGAATATTCAGGGCTGATTTCCTTTAGGCTGGACTGGTTGGATCTCCTTGCTGTCCAAGCAACTCTCAAAAATCTTCTCTAGCACCACAGTTTGAAAGCATCAGCTCTTCATTATTGGCATAGGAAGAAGCATACATCTATTGCTGTTTTTAAAAAGCTCCAGAAGCACCCCCAAGTGTCCCCTGATGGACAAATAGAACAACAATGTGACCTATACACACAATGAAATATTATACACCTGTGACGAGGAAGGAAATTCTGACACACGTGACGACATGGATGAACCTTAAGGGTATCATGCCTAGTGCGGCGAGCCAGTCACTAAATGAGAGGTACTGTGTCATTCCCTTCACACGAGGGGCCTGAAGCAGTCAAGTTCATACCATGGTGGCTCCCAGGGGGCTGGGGGCAGGGAGGCGGAGAAAAGTGTGCAATGTGGGCAGAGTTTCAGTGTGGAAAGAAGAAAGAGTTTGAAAATAGATGGTGCTGACGTCTGCCCCACGACGTGAGCACACTTCGCACCACAAACTGCGCACCTGGATGGCTCTGATGGCAATTTTACATCATGCACTTTTAGTCACATTTTTCAAAAAGGCTCCAAAGCAGTTCAATTTTCCGTTTTTGTAACATAGCAAGAAATGTTAACAATGGTGTGATTATGAACGTCCTTCCTTTTTTATACTTGTCTGTACTTTCTGATGTTTTGGGCAGTGAGAACAATAACTTTTATACCAGTTTAAGAAGCTATTTCAAAAAAAAAAAAAAAAGAAGCTATTTCAAAAATAACACACTAAATTGCACAATCAGACATACTAGGTTGACCAAAATGGTCATTTGTTTTTTCCTGTAAGATGGTTCTAGTAGGGCTTAGTTGTCTCTAATTTCATTCGAAGCAATTTGATAGGTTGTAGTGTGACAGCTGTCATACCAGGATGCATTAAAAAAAAAATCAAAATTTGTACATTTTTGTGTAGCTATTTTAATATCAAAGATGGAAGAAAAAAAGCAACATTTTTGGCATACTATACTTTGTTATTTCATGAAAGGTAAAAATGGAACTGAAATGCAAAAACTGATTTGTGCAGAGTGTGGGGGTGGTGCTGTAACTGATGGAACGTGTCAAAGGCAGTCTGTGAAGCTCGTGGTGGAGGCTTCTCGCTGGACAATGCTCCACATTGTGTAGACCAGCTAAAGCAGATAGGGATCCAATCAAGATGTTAATAGAGAACAATCAACATCGTACCACACAGGAGACACTGCCATACTCAAAATACCCACATCAAGCACTGAAAATCATCTGCACCAGCTGGGTGACATTCTCACACTGATGTCTAGGTTCCACACAAGGTGAGCAAAAACCTTCTTGATCATATTTCTTCATGTGATTCTTTACTCAAAACATACTGAAAATGTTCCATTTTTAAACTGTGATGGGTGATAAAAGTGGATGATATACAATATTGTGGAGCAGAAGAGATCGTGGGGCAGGTGGGATGAACCACCATCAAACACAGCAAGGCCGGTCTTCATCCGAGAAGGCGTGTCGTGTATGTGGTGGGATTGGAGGGGAGTCCTCTGTTATGAGGGCCTCCCAGGAAACCAAACAATTAATTTCAACAAGCACTGATCCCAGTTAGACCAGCTGAAAGCAGCACTTGATGAAAAACCTCCAGAGTTGGCCGAGAGAAGATGTGCAATCTTCCCTCAGGATAACTAAGAGCCCATGCTTTTTGACGACCAGTCAAAAACTGTTACAGCTCTGTTGGGAAGTTCTGATACATCCTCCATACTCACCAGCCATCGCACCTTTGGATGTCCACCTATTCCATCTTTACAAAATTCTCATAATGGAAAAAGATTTCAATTGCCTGGAAGATTGTAAGAGGCACCTGGAACAGTTCTTTGCTCAAAATGATAAAAAGTTTTAGGAAGATGGAATTATGAAGCTGTCTGAAAAATGGTGGAAGGTAGTGGGACAAAATGGTGAATATATTGTTCAATAAAGTCCTTGGTGAAAATGAAAACAATGTGTCTTCTACTTTTACTTAAGAACTGGAGGAATTTTTGGCCATCACCCTACAGCAGAACCGTATTTTTTTTCTGGTTATAGAAGTAATATAAATTCGTTCTAGAAAATCTGGAAAAGTGAAAGAGATAATGCTTAAAAAAAGAAACTTTAATTTCATCACTTCAAAGTAAATATTCTTAAAAATCGTCACTGTAAATACTTTGATATCTATTTCTTCTTCTACAAATGTTTTTTCTTTAAATAATCATATCCAGAATACTACCTTTATAGGTTTTTGCATCCTGCATTTTTTTTTTCACTTTAACTTTCATCAAATAGTCTTTTAAAGAGTGGAGAAGTCTTTAAACTATGGCGACTGACTCCAGTATTCTTGCCAGGAAAATACTATGGACAGAGGACCCTGGTGGGCTATAGTCCACGGGGTTGCAAACAGTCAGACACGGCTGAGCAACTGAGCACAAAGGCTGGAGAAGACTTTTGACAGTCCCTTGGACTATAAGGAGATCAAGCCAGTTCATCCTAAAAGAAATCAACCCTGAATATTCATTGGAAGGACTGATGCTGAAGCTGAAGCTTCAATACTTTGGTCACCTGATGCGAAGAGCTGACTCACTGGAAAATCCCCTGATTTGGGGAAAGATTGAAGGCAGGAGGAGAAGGGGACGACAGAGGACGAGATGGTTGGATGGCATCAGTGACCCACTGGGTGTCAGTTTGAGCAAGCTCCAGGAGATAATGAACGGAGAGGGACTGGTGCTCTGCGGTCCGTGGTGGCAGAGCTGGACACGACTGACCGAGTGAGCAACAAGCCTTTCAAAACCCTGACTGAGACAGACAAAGGGTATTCTGCTACACAGACGGTTCATTACCATTTTTTCCTTTTGTTGGGCTTTAGCTGGTTTCCAATTTTTCTCAAGTGTCAGTAATATTGAGAAGTCTGTTCATAAATCTGAATGCGAATCCGATCATTTCTTTAGGCTCAGGCTCTAAAAGGACATGTACTGACTCAGGGCTGCTGTACAGAATTCAAGGTTGCTTCCTGGGAAGGTACTAACTTCACGTCTTTCCAACAGTGGAATCACTCTAAAATATCCTGATCAATTGGATGAAAGGGTATTTGGCGTCTCTGGGATCAGTGGTGAGGTTAGATACTTCCCTTGGCAGCGATAGGCTATTTGCATGCTCTGTTGAGGTCTGTTTTCCACTTGACCCCGTCCTGCCCTCACTGTTTGAAGTGAGGAGGAATCCCGCCCGACTCTGGTGGTGGTGTCGCCTTCGGGGTCTTCTCATCAGCCCAGGTTTCTTGTAGGGTGCCCCCTCAGCGGGAAGCCGCCCGTGCAGTCAGTTCCCAACACTTGCTTCCTTGTGGTTTGCTCAGAAAGGTGATGGCCAGTGGCCCGGGAGAGGGGATGGGAGGCGAGGCTTCGGCCGGTCGCAGGGCACATGCTGACCCTGGGGACTTTGGCTGGGCAGGAGTGACTCATTAACTAGTCACCCCACCAACGCCCCTCCCCGAGGGGGGCCTGGGCAGCGGTGTCCCTCCTCCTGTTTCTGAACGTGAACCTGGCTCCTGCCCAGGGGACATCCAGCTTAGCCGTGGACTCGCACACTGTCCATCTGCCCTTCGATGCGGTTCTCAGCTACGTCCGCTCTCAGATCAGCCTCGCCCGGGTTTCCGTGAAGACAATGCCGCTTTCCATCTGCGGGAGCTCTCCCTTGCTCCCCCACAGCTCCTGTCTCGTCGCGGCTGGCCTGTGTCACAGAGCACCCTCCACGGCTGCTGCCAGCCCCTCTGGCCTCACAGGGCCTCGTCCTCTCTGCCCTTCTTGCCAGCCCCAGCAGACTGTCTGATGGCAGCACCGCCACGCACGGCACCTTATTGGACACCGTTCTCCATCATGGGACATTCTACTGGACACACTTCCCCTTCCCCAAGCTGGGTACTGTGGGCTTCCTGGGGCGACTAAGAAATGGCCCAGCCCCCCAAAAAGCTCAGCCACCCATCTATCAGGCACGCATCAAGGCCCTTCCAGGGAGGGGGATGTTGTGAAACCAAGATTCATACACTTCCTGCCTTCACAGAGCCTGGACTGCCAGGGTCCTCACTCACTCACTTACTCGTAAAGTCCGCACACACATTGTCGGAGCCCTCTTATTCCAGGCCCTGGGCTGCGAAGCACAGGCATGTGAGCCTGACCCAGCCTGCTGTGGGAGGCAAGGCTGAGTTGGAACTTCAGGGGCTGCTGATACCTGAAGGGTGAGCAGGTCTGACCAGGAGGGGAGAATGAGCCAGGTAGGGGCACCTTTACTGAGCAGCCCCACAGAAACTGGCCAGGGGTGTTCCGGGTCTCTCTGGGGAAACGGGTCTCCTAAATTCCCCAGTGACCAACTCCTTAACCTGTTTGGCAGTGATTCCTCAGCACTGTTTAATTTCTCCCAAGCTGACCATGTGTAAGTCTTTCAGAAACTCATTAATTCCACAATGGAGCACTTACTGAGTGCTTGGTGCTGGAGATACGAAGGGACCGAAAGGACAGGGATCACTGCTTTGGTGGACCTTACATTCTTTGGAGGAGAGAGAAAGCAAATGAAACAAAATGCAAAATATATAATATGTTAGCAGGGAAGAAGCACCAGGAAGAAAAGTTCAACAGGATAGGGGAAGAGGAAATATCAGGAGAATGTGAACATTTGAGACGGGGTGGTCAAGGCAGGGTACCTGAAGGCAGTGTTAGTCCCTCATTTGTATCTGACTGTTTGTGACCCCATGGACTGTGCCCGCCAGGCTCCTCCATCCATGGGATTCTCCAGGCAGGAACACTGGAGTGGGTTGCCATGCCCTCCTCCAGGGGATCTTCCTGATCCAGGGATCAAACCCAAGTCTCCTGCATCACAGGCAGATTCTTTACTTTCTGAGCCACTACCACGGAAGGTAACATTTGAATAAAATCTTGGAGAGGGCGATGGAGCCATGGGGACGTGCTTACACAGGCAGCAGGAACAGCAAATGCAAAGGCCCTGAGGTGGGATCGTATCTGGAATGTCTGTGGAGCCACGGGGAGCCAGTGTGGCTGCAGTGATGTCAGCAAGGGTGAGACGAGAGCAGCAAAGGTCGGGGTCAGGATGGAGGCCAACCCTGCAGGGTACTGCAGACGGTGGGAGGCGGGAGCCGCTCAGTGTTCAGAGAAGCGACGTGATCTGACTCAGGCTGTAAGGCAGCATCTTGACTGTTCTCCAGTTTCCTTATTTTTCTCCAGTCTTACTGAGACATCATTGACACATGTCATTGCATAAGGTATACAACATAATGGTTTGATTCACATTGTTGTAAAGTGATTACTGCAGTGTTTAGTATGCATCTCATATGGATACAATGAGATACAAGCAAAAGGAGGAATAAAAAAGGTTTTTGTGATAAGAACTCTTAGGTTCTAGTCTCTTAATGACTTCCATAGATAACACACAGCAGCATTAATTATATTTATCATGCTGTATGTTACATCACCGATTCAATGGGCATGAGCTTGAGCAAACTCCGGGAGACAGTGAAAGACAGGGAAGACTGGGGTGCTGCAATTCATGGGGTCACAAAGAGTCAGACATGACTTAGTAACTGAACAACAGCAACATAACATCCCTAGTTATTTATCGTTGCCTGGAAGTCTGTCCCTTTCGATCACCGTCCTGCAATCCCACCCCTCACCGTCCTCTGGTAAACCTCATCTCTTTTTCTACTGTTTTTGTTCAGTGGCTCAGTCGTGTCTGACTCTTTTCGACCCCATGGACTGCAGCACACCAGGCTTCCCTGTCCTTCACCGCGTTTCCATTTTTGCATTCCACATGTAAGTGACAGCCATACAGTGCCTGACTGTCTCTGCTCAGCTTCTTGCTAGCCTGTGCAGAAGCCTCCTGGTGTGCTAAAGCTATGGATGCGCCTTTGTTTCCAAGCTTCTTCTGAAATTTCGGTGTGATTGTCAGTGAGAAGATGGGGAAGACTGGCCTGAGAATGTGTGAGGAGCAAAGGATTGATGGCAGGCAGGGATGTGTCCGCCTCTCACCTGCAGAGACCAGGCATTGAGCTTGAACCCTGCAGACCTCTGTCTCTTCTGTAAAAAGGAGTGAGCTGGGTCTGTTCTGCGGGTGCTGGCCAGGGCCTGCATGAATGTTCAGGCGGTGCAGACAGCAACATCACCATCCTTGATCTCGAGGCCAGTCTCCTCCAAACCCTCCCACCGAGCCTCAGTTTGGCCCCTGGTGGCAGCCAGATTTGTACCCGTGGCTCTGCGGTGTGCATGGGGAGGGTCCCAGGATGCAGGGTCCAGTGTCCTGCATAGTCTTGAGAGTCCAGACCCACAGCACTCCGGAGAGCCTAGACAGGACCCAGCTATCAGTTGTGGCTCCAGCAGTGTCCTGGAGAGGAACAGAATCAGAAATGCTGCCCGCCTCCCACACCAGGAGGCAAGGATGTGTGCGTTCTGTAGAAGGCACACCCAGGCCACCATCGAGGTTGTCTGGAAGATGCCATCTCAGCAGCGCGGATGGACCACCTTGCTTGCTCACCCGCCTCCCTCCTTACCAGCTGTGTCTGGGAGGACCGCGGCCTCGGAGTCCTCTTCATCCGTAAAATGTTGGCTGAGAACACGACAGGTTTGGGTAAACGGCGCGCAGGGTGTCACCCTCAGCGCACGGGTCTCCAGGGCTGGTCACTCAGCGTCCCGCGCCTCCTGTCCCCCGGGGGCTGCCGCGGACTCGAGCGAGCGCGTTGTCCCGAGCGGGCTGGCGGCTCACCGGACGCTCGCCCGCATCTCTCCAGCAACGTCCCGGACAAGTCCTGGCTTTGCCTGTGGGCCGCCCGGGGCTGCAGATGGGAGCGGGGTAGGGAGGGTCGGGCCGGGGCTGTTCGGCGGCTCCCAGCCCGCGTGGAACCCCTCGGAGCCCCAGGCCAGGCCCGCGTTCGTTCTCTCCTGGGCTAGAACCTCCGGAGCCGCCGCTACCAGTCCAAAGCGACTGGAGGGGCGGGGCGGGGGCGGGGCCTGGACATGGGAGCGGCGGGGCCTGAGCATGTGACGCGCTGCCCGGGCCAACGGGCGGGGCCTNCTGCCGGTCACCGCGGCCGGCCCGGGGGAGGCGGCTCCCGGCTCTCCCCGCCCCTTCCCACGCGCGGCCCCACGCGAGCCGGAACGGGGTCCCCCGCCCGGCCCTCAGCGCGCCCCGCACGCGCAGTCACGCGGCAGGAGCTCGCGCCCCCGCCCGCCCCTCTGCGGGTCCCTTCGGGCCCTCCCTCCACCCCCACTGTTTGCCGGCCCAGGCCCCAGAGGTGACGGGTCCCGGGTGCCTGAAGCCCTGGAGCCACTCCGCCGCCTCCAGGGACCTGGCGGACCGCGGGGAGCCCAGTCGCCCCACAGGTGCGAGACCGCGGCCGCGGGACTCTTATTTTGAAGGGCGGCCCCCCCGCCGTGGTCTGCACGCTGACCCAATGGAAGGCCCTTGGCCGGCGCTGGGCTTGTTATCAATTACATGTTGTTCCTGCGGCCGCCGTGTCCCCGGGAGGATAAACAGCAGGCCCGGACGGCCGGGTGGGGAGGGGCGGAGTCCGGCCACGGCCAGGGACGCTGCCCGGGACAGGGCGTCCCCCCTCCCTCCCCCCCGCCCCGCGGCCTGCGTCGCTGGCCGGGCCACGTGCTGCTGTGTTTCAGGGCCGGTCCCGGCGCCCCGCGGGTCCCGTGGGCTCTCAGTGCTCGCGTCCTCCCCGCCGAGGAGCCCTGCCCGAGGGCCCAGGCGGTCTGCTGCGGCCCCCACCCCCGGGTCTTTGCACTCCGTCGGCAAAGTTCGGCCAGGGTCCTGTTTCAGAGTCGGGGATAGACAGTCCAAACAGCTTATATTCTGGTGGGGAGACCGAGAACGAAGTGTGTAAATACATAACTGCAGTAGCAACTGTTAGGAAGACTATGATGCAGGGTGGTATAGCAGAGGGTGGTGGGCAGGGAGGGAGGCCTCACAGGGAGTGACTTCAGAGCTGAGGGATCTAAATCAGGGGCTCCCTCCTAGAGGCTGGGAAGAGGGGTCCTTGGAGAGTGAAGCACTGGGCCCCTGGCCTGGGGCGGTGAGGCTGGTGCGCTTGTGCACAGCCTGTGAGTGGGGCAGGTGGAGCAGTGGTCTGGGGCAGACCAGCCTTCTTGGAGGAGACTGGGTCCATTCCTTTGGGAATCTCTTGAGTTCCCGCCTACCCTGTCCTGCTGTACTTATTTCCCCCCTTATTTCTTTTATATCATTTAATCGTGGATATCTTAGTTTATGTGTCTAAAATGTAAGGCCTCCTTTGAAAAGTATGTACCAACCACAGTACATCATCCCATTTAAAAATATTGACTGTAATTCCTCAATATCATGGAATAGTCAGGTAGTGATCACATTTCTGGGGAGAGTTTCAAGGGCAGGGACATGGCGCTGTCTGCCTTTTCTGCCTGGTTCCTGCCTGGTTCTAGGAAGACTGGAGTCCCCAGGTTCCTCAGCATGGCAGCAGAGGGGAGAAAGACCACGACCTCACCCTTGAGACACCCTGACGGCTGGTGCTGCCTGTCTGTCCCTGTAGCGAATGCTCAGCGTGTGTAAGCTCATCGGTCTTACAAAAACCCAGGAACTAGGCACGGTTGTCAGGATCCCACCCAACACATGGCACAGAGAGCGAGCACCGCCTGCCCGAGGTCACACAGCTGACAAGCTGCAGAGACAGCAGCTCAGTGTGGGCGATGGGGTGGAGGTTGGGGTCTCAGGCTGAGTGTGGGCTCTGTTCTTCACATTATCTGGCATTTTCATGCCTTCTCAGCACCTGATTCAGTGAATAGTGTATATTTTAAAACTCTCAGCTTTAAAATCCTTAGCTAAAAAGCCAAACGTTCTCCTGCAAACACTGCCCTGGATGCAAACTTGCACCTTGCCTTATTTTCCTGGGGCTTAGTGAAGCTTCCTGGCTGGGTCATCACACACGGAACAGGTGGGGTGACTGGGGTTTGGGGGAGCAAGGACTGGCCCCAGGTCACGACTGAGGATGGCCTGGCCCTGGGAGGTCCCGAGCGCTGGCTGGGCCTGCCGAATGTTGGGCAGTGCCGGGCCCGACCGAGTGCTAGAGACAGAGATGGGTGTAGTGGGAGCGGATGTGGTGCCCGGTGGCCGAGACTGTCTGCTTTAGCTGCAGATCGTTCCCCTTCCTCAACTCAGTAAACACCGGCTGTGGTCACTGGGTGGGGACAAAGGTCTGCAGGGGTGGCCCTGTCACAGCCACTGTTGACTCTCCTTGGACACCGACCTGCATGGCCTTCAGCCTGCCCCTGTCCTCTCTGCTGACGTGCCCTGAGCCCCTCCTGGGCACCAGCAGCCTCACCAGGGGCTGGGAACACAACCAGACCCGACCGCCCAGCCTGCACCACGGGGGCCCTGGTCTGGTAGGGAGGTGGCGTGAGCTGGGTAAGTGCTCCACGGGGTGCCAGCTGGGGGTCTCATCGCCCACCAGGCAGCTGTAAAGGCGGGAGTAGCTGGGCCCTGGGACCTGAGTGCGTTCTCCCTGACTTGTTGTTGCAAGGCAGGGCCCTTCTACTGCTGGTGAAGCCTCTGAAGGTGCCCAGTCCAGTGGAGGGTGCTTGGTGGAGGCCCATCGCTAATTCACTGGAGAGGCAGCTGAGATGGGAGGGGCCCAAGGACTGGGTGGTGGGTGGGCTGCCCCCTTTTAGGTGGTCAGACAGCACTTGAGGGGATCTTTAATTTATGCCTCAGAGTAGACTTGTCTGGTTGAAATACAAACTCCTCATTTATATTTGAGTCTCAGATGAAACAATTTTTTAGTATAAGCTTGCTGAATCCAATGTTTGGACATGCTTCTGTTAAAAGTTGTTCATTTTTTAAACTCAGTTTCAAGTTGAACCGGGTGGCCTTTATTTTTATTTGCTCAATCTGGCAACCCTACCAAAGCTGCAGCAACAGGGGGTCAGAGGGCATGTGGCTGTCCTCCGCCTCCCCCCCCCAACCCCCACCCCGCCACTCACCGCCGGCAGTTCTTCTGCAGGAACGGGACTGAGGTCAGTTGTTCAGGGATGATGGTGACTCTGCTCAGCTGGATGGGGTTCCCACCTGGCCATTTGGGGTGCAGAGTGCCTCCTCACACACCCACCCTCTCCCTCACATGCACTCACACTCAGACATGCGTGTTCCTTTTCAGAATTGTTCTGAAAAATCTGTGTGAAGCCGCAAGAGCCGGGTTGTGCAATGGGCTTGGAGAGCACTTTTGCAAACAGGTGGTGCAATTTCGGAAAACACGCTTGCAGCGTTCCCCCATCGGATGGATGGAGGCAGGATCCAGGCCTGGGGCGGCGGGAGGCTGTGGCTGGCCACGGCATGGGGCCAGGAGCCTCCGAGGAGGGGGTTGACTGTGCTGCTTTCCTGACGGGGCCTTCTTGGTTTTCTCTGCAGCCGCCAGGCCAGCATGGTGGACCACTTGCTCCCAGTAGACGAGACCTTCTCGTCGCTGAAACGCCCCGTTGGTTTTCTGGGTGACGGGCGGGCGTACCATATGCTGCCCTCGCCCCTCTCCGAGGACGACAGTGATGCCTCCAGCCTCTGCTCCTGTGCCAGCCCCGACTCGCAAACCCTGTGCTCCTGCTACGTCGGTGGCCGGGGGCCCAAGGGCCAGGACAGTATCCTGGACTTCCTGCTGTCCCAGGCCACCCTGGGCGGCGGCGTTGCGGCTCACGGCAGCCCCATGGCCTGGGGGGCCTGGCGGAAAACACCGGCCCCCGTGAAGGGGGAGCATTTCAGCTTCCCCGAGTTCCCGGTGGGCGACCCCGATGACGTCCCTCGGCCCTTCCAACCCACCCTGGAGGAGATCGAAGAGTTTCTGGAGGAGAACATGGAGCCAGCGGTGAAGCAGGCCCCAGAGGGCAGTGGCAAGGACTTGGACGCCTGTGGCCAGCTCTCCACCGGGCCACACAGGGGCCACCTCCACCCCGGGGCGGGTGGCAGAGAGCGCTGTGCCTCACCTCTGGGGGCCGGTGCAGCTGGCAGCCAGGGCCAGGCTGGGGGCCCCACCCCCGACACCCCAGTCCCACTGCTGCTGCAGATCCAACCGGTGCCGGTGAAGCAGGAGTCGGGCACCGAGCCTGCCTCCCCGGGGCAGCCCCCCGAGGCCGTCAAGGTGGCGCAGCTGCTGGTCAGTATCCAGGGCCAGACCTTCACGCTTGTGCCCCAGGTGCTGCCCTCATCCAGCCTCAGCTTGCCCTCCAAGTTCGTGCGCATCGCCCCTGTGCCCATTGCAGCCAAGCCCCTTGGGTCAGGACCCCTGGGGCCCGGCTCCACAGGCCTCCTCGTTGGCCAGAAGTTCCCCAAGAACCCGGCGGCCGAACTCATCAAAATGCACAGGTGCACTTTCCCCGGCTGCAGCAAGATGTACACCAAGAGCAGCCACCTGAAGGCCCACCTGCGCCGGCATACGGGCGAGAAGCCCTTCGCCTGCACCTGGCCGGGCTGTGGCTGGAGGTCAGTATAGCAGCGGCAGCCAGGCGCTGCTGCTCAGGGCCCACACGCCTCTGCTCCCGGGGTGCGTGGCCAAGACCGAGTCCGCGCTTGGATAAGGCTGCTTAGGGCGGGGAGGGGGTGGGCAGGCCCAGAGGTCCCTGTGTACCTCTGATTGCTGGCGTTCAGTCTCATGGTGACCAGGTGAGGCTGCGGCTGTGCCAGGGAGGGGCTGGGCCACGCAGAGGGCTCCCCTGGTGGCGCCGGGGCTGCTGAGAGCCGCGGGGGGTGGCTGCGCACCACGTGTCCCCGCGGCATTCCCGTGCTGCGCGCCCCCGTTCCGTGCACCCCCGCAGCACCCCAAGGGTAAGTACCACCTCTCACCCCCCTTCACCACTGAGCACACGGAGGCTCAGAGCCGCTCAGTAATGTGACCCTTTACTGATGGGGTCGAAGCCAGGGGCCAGAGGCGGCCACCTCCGCAGCCTGAAGGCCCAGCCGCTTGATGGCCGTCCTGGGGGACCTGGCGCTGTCCTGGAGATGCCAGAGAGGCCACGGAGGGCTCCGGGCTCGGGTGCCGAGCCAGAAGCGGGAGACTGCTCCCCGGACCTTGCTCGGTGCACGTGCGGGACCAGCTCTCAAAGCGGGGGGTGGCTTGCCCAGGGTCACCGAGCCCCTGGGTGGGCGGAGCGGGTGGGACCACCGTGGATCGCCCCCAGTCCCCCGGCAGGCCCGCCCTCTTGGGAGGGAACTGTTCCTGAGGCTCTGGTGCAGGTCAGGGGTGACGTGCTCAGGACGCCCCCCTGCAGGAGGCTGGCTGGCCCAGGAGGTGCACGTGTTCCTTGCACACTCGGTCCTGCCTAGTATGGCTTCCGTGTGTGAGGGGGTGGGAGGCACGCTTGGCTTTGTGCAGACCTGAACCTCACAAGGGGCATGTGTGACCACACGCTATCGTGCATGCTGCATGGTTGTGCCCCATGCGTGTGTGTGGGTGCACATGACACCCCGTGCTTCCGGATGGAATTGCTCCTGAGAGCAGGGGAGAACTGGCCCTGGGCCGGAGGTGCTGGCCTCTAGAGTCGTGGCAGGCCGAGGCTGGGTGGATGGGAGCCCTGTGCCCAGCATCCGGGGTCGTGGAGCAGTGAGCTGGCCAGAGAAGGGGCTTTGCCTTGGCACCCACAGCCCTGAGGGCTCCAGGAGCCCAGCTCCAGCCTTGCACTGCCCACAGCATCGGACAGAGTTGGCCGGTGTGCTTCAGGGCAGGCTTGCCGGCCGGCGGGGAAGCCGGGGTCAGTAGACAGACCCGGGGCCCTGCGGGGGCCCAATCGCAGCAGGGAGCATCCTGACCCCGAGGGTGGGGCGGCTGGTGGCAGGGAGTGGACCCCAGCCCTGCTCTGCCCACTGGCCGGTGTCTTCCCGTGGTCCCCTGGCCAAGCCTGTTTCCTCCTCTGTCGAGTGGAAGGCTTGCTCGTGGTCTCTGTCCCTCAGGGCCATGTGTGCAGGGATCGTCCTGGTCGTGTGCTGCTCTCAGAGGAGGTCAGAGTGCGAGGAGGACCGGGGAGGGGTCAGCCCACTTCCACTGGGCAGCACCCATGTTGCAGGCTGGCACCCGGAGACTCCCAGGCCAGTGTTGTCTTTTTGGTGGGGGTGGGGCTGTGGGCAGCCTCACAGTCCCAGGCACTGTCCACCCCCCAGAACTGAGGCTGGGAGGAAGGGCCTAGTCGTGGTCAAGGCCACCTGCTTGGCCGCTTCCCCGGGAGAAGAGGACCTGTGTTCCGGGCTGTCCTGGAGGGCACATGGGACCCTCGGCCCAGGGCGTCAGGGAGGCAGGTCTTGGCCCCCAGCACAGCGGCCCTGGAGGGAGTGAGTTCTCCATGGGGGGAGGTGTGTAACCCAGAGTGGGATTCATGGTGGGCATTCAGGTTTGCACTGCCTGAGCCCTTGGGTGGTCTTGCCCAGGACCCCCGAGTCGGGGAGGCATGGTGGGAGCTTGGCACCGTGAGGTCTCGCGGAGCCCTTGGGAGCCATCAGCCAGACAGGAGGCTTCTCCCGGGTCTGGGTCTGGCCTTCACGGGGTCACGTGCGGGTCTTGCGAGGCAGAGGCCCTGCCAGGCAGGGAGCCGAGGGCGCCTGCCCTCGTGGGGGCCGTCTCGCCGGTTGGTCTTCAGGGGTCCTGAACTGCTGCTTATGCGCCCATGAGCTGGCCTGTCCCGTCCACATGGTCGTAACTGCCGGCTGCGCGACCGAGGGCCATCCTTCCAGCACGTGGGTGGGAGGGTGGGCCGACTTTGGGGCAGCTCCGTCAGGACAGGACAGGGGAGAAGGTGACAGTGGCCAGCTCACCAGGCACTTACTGAGTGCCAGGCGCTGTCCTGAGGGTCTTTAAGCTGGGCTCCCCTCTGCAAATCCCCACCCTGGCTTGCATGATTCCTTCCACGAGGGACTTATTACCTTTCCGCCCCCTCAGGCCTTCTGTTCCTCTCAGGTACACTTAGATTCCTATCCAGATGCCTCATTCTGGACCGCAGGCTCATTTGGTCTGCCTGCCGGCCTCCCTCGGGCAGCGCGGGCTGTCATGGCCCCTGTGGCCTGTGTCTCCCGCACTCCTCTCCGGGGGTGGCTGTCGCTAGTCTTGCCATGACTCTGGCTCCGTCATTCCCAAATCCCGGTCTCTTCGAGGCCTCCCAGCACCCCTGTGGTTTGTTGGCACCATCTCGTTTTACATAGGGGGAAACTGAGGCCCAGAAAGACCCAGTCATCACCTCAGCGACAAAGCGCACCCCGCCGTGGTGAGGGCAGCATGCCTCTGCCACGTACAGCCCCAGGGCCAGGCTGGCCACGCCTCTCGGTGGGCAGTGCTCTCGTGTGCCAGGAGTCCTGTCTCTTCCCCGAGGTCGTCAGTGGCCAGGCATCAGCTCTGGGCTGGGAGGGAAGGGCTGAGGAGTGGGACAGTGAGACACAGCCCCGGGGTGCTGGGCAGGCGCCCGCGTCACACTGAGCCTGTGAGCAGGCGTCAGCCTGTCGTCCTACTTTGGTGGTTGCTCAGTCGCTCAGTCGTGTCTGACTCTTTGCGCCCCCATGGACTACAGCAGGCCAGGCTCCCCTGTCCATCACCGACTCCCGGAGCTTGCTCAGACTCGTGTCCATCGAGTTGATGATGCCATCCAACATCTCACCCTCTGCCGCGCCACTTTAGAGAAAAGGAAACATGGCTGGAGCCAGCAGGCGGTTCTCACCATCACCCGGCTGAGAGGTGGCTGAGGCAGGGGCTCGGCCCAGGCTCCCTGCCCACCCCGCCCCACCCCACCTGGCAGGTCGTAGGCCCAGCCCGCCCTGCAGCAGCCCCTCCACACCTCCCGAGGGGGTGGGCCGCCCCCTGCACCACGCCTGCCCTACCAGTGGGTGCTCTGCATCCCAGACTCTCTCCTTCCTGGCGGTCCTGGCGAAGAGCAGCCGCCTCTCTCCATCCGGCACCTGTCCTGTGTCCTGCTCACTGAGGGCCAGGAACTCTGTCCCCCAGGGTCATCCCTGGCCTGGGCAACCTCCCTCCACTTCCTTCGGCGTCTGATCGTGGACCCCGGAGTCCCTGCTCTTCCGCTTAGGGACGCGGCTCCGGAGGCCGGGATGAGACTGGGGCCGGATTGGCCAGTTTGAGGCTGCGCGTGTAGGAGGTGCTGTCGGCCTCTGCCTAGAAGTTTCCTACTTCCCTCTTGGACACCAGCCTCCCTTGTTCTCTGCAGAGGGACATCCTGTCCCCTCCGAGGAGAGCGCCCTCCTGCCTCCACCCCTGGGGGTGTGCCAGCTCCCCGTGTTGGGGGGGAGGGGGCCTGGGTCTCCACAGTGGACAAGGAGGCCCTGGAGACGGGGAGGCCGGGACAGGGCCGGTGGCTGCAGCAAGGCCCCCGAGCCCTGCCTGCGGTTGCAGCCCTGCGCTGTTCCACGCACAACCTGGCGCCACGTTCCCACCACCGCCCTTGGCCTGGGTGCTCACAGTGACGGCTTTCTGGCTGACCGAGGGCCCCCTGGACCTGTGCTTCCCCACAGCCCAGCCGTGGGGATCGTGGTCGACACTCACCAGGGCCCAGCTCACAGCCGTGGGCCCCACACCCGCTCTGCACCCTCAGTCCTGGCACCCGATATGCCCTTCCCTGTGCCCAGAGAGCACCTCCGAGAGATTGGCGACTTGCCAGGCAGTCCCGGCAGGAGGAGCAGGGCCCGCTGCCTGCAGAGGCTGAGTTGTAGCCGCCCACCCCATCCCATGTGGATGTGGTTTGGGAGAAGGTGGCATGGGGGTGTGGGCTGGGGGGGGGTTGTCTGGGGGCTCAGGTCACAGGACCCTGAGGGGGGAGGGGGCATGCAGATGGGGGGGCTGTTCTTGGGGCCACTGTCCCCACTCCGCGCCCCTCCCAGGCGTCTCCTGACAAGAGGCTGCTTGCCCTGTGTGCCCACTGTGGCCTCTGAGATGAGCCTCGGAAGGTGGACGAGAGCCCAAAGGCCCCACTGGAAGAGAGGACCCCGAGGCCCAGGACGGGCCTGCGTTCACTCGGGGCTGCACGGGCTTGCGCCGAGCCATCTGGCTTCCCCGCTGCCCCTGTCCTCACGTCCTCCCCGGGGTAGCGTCTCCAGCAGGGCTGGTCTCGACTCCCTGAGCGGGAGGGTGAGGCCGACCCTGTGCCACTGGGGGAGGCGGGGGCTCGGGGCTGTTGCGGAGCCTCCTTGCCGCTGCCCTGGGGGCCCTGACTCCTCCGGGGTGGGTGGTCCCGGGTTGGCCCCTGACGGCCGGAACCTTGGTGCTCCTTTCACCCACTTGAGCTGCAGGGGCGCGAGGCACCCGGCCCGCTCTGGGGGAGGCCAGGCTGCCTGCGGTCACCAGGGCGGGATCTTTGCTCTGGCCTTGGCCACTCTGTGGCCGCTGACCCTGGGTCAGGGTCTTGCATCTCTGTGCCTCGGTTTCCTCTCGTGGCAGATGGGCCAGGGTCTTATTTTCAAAGGTGCTGATGGCACTGTGCCCTGTGCCTGGGCACCTGGGCTGTGATGTGAACACCAGCTTCCAAGCACTGGCACCTGGCCATGCTCTGGGCATCAGGGGAGTGAGGGAGGTGGCGCTTGTCCTCCGCGCCTCTGGGCTGAGGCACCCGCTCAGCCTTCCCCGTACAGCTGTGGGTCCCGGGCTTCCACCCAGAGGGTCAGGCCCGGCTGAGCCTCCGATCCCCTCCTTGGTGGGGCGGGGATGGCTGCTGCAGGCACCGCCCCCTTCCTCTCAGGCGTGGGTCCAGGAACGGGGTGCTGGGCCTGATGCTCCTGTGTGCGTGTGTTCACGTGGGTGAGCATGTGCACACATGCATGTGTGTGCTCCGTGCTCAGTCGTATCCGACTCTTTGTGACTTGTGGGCTGTAGCACGCCAGGCTCCTCTGTCCATGGGGATTCTCCAGGCAGGAATACTGGAGTGGGTTGCTATGCCCTCCTTCAGGGGATCATCCCGACTCAGGGATCGAACCCAGGCCCCCTGCAATTGCAGGCAGAGGCTTTAGTGTGGCCTGTGTGTGTGCGCAGTGTGCACTGGGTGCTTGCCCGCCCCGGCGCTGGCGAGGGCTGCCTCTCTGACAGCTCTCCATCCTCCTGAGGTGCTCTGTCGCTAACGCACAGACCAAGAACCCGAGGCGCCAGGTGCTGGGCTGGCCACGGGGCACTTGCCTTTCCTCATGGAGCTGACGGTCTAGTGGCTCAGACTGATGCTCATCAAAAACTTGGAAACTAAAGTCGCAGCAGTGGTAGAGGTCAGGGAGAATGACTAGTGCTTCTAGGCCCTGGCTGTGGGTGGGATGCAATCCTGGAGGGTTTTCCTGAGGACGTGACGTCTGCGCTGAGGGCTAAGGGATGAGTGGGAAGAGCCTTTCGGACGGAGGGGATGGTTTGGGCACACGTCCTCTGGTGGGAGGGGCTCAGGGCAGTTTGTGCAGGCAGAGCGCAAAGCACACAGCGTGTGTGCGTAGGGTGGGGTCTCGCTGCCAGGACGGAGCTCGGGAGTGAGGAGAGGCTGGAGTCCCTGAGGTCAGCTGTGCCAAGAGCTGAGCCCTGTGGTCAGCTGGGGTCCGTGGCCACTGTTCCTTTGCAGCAGACACTGGGGCTGTGACAGGGAGGCAGCTGGGCTACCTTGGAGGTCTCTGAGCACCTTGTGGGGCATGGAGTCGTCTGGGGACCTCTCAGCTGCTGGGAAGGCAGTCAGGGTCCAGAGTTGGGGGGTCAAGTCTGAGGACCCCTCCTCTGCTGTGACAAAGGCCCGCCCCCTGCAGGCTGGGTGGGGCCTCTGCCCTAGCCTGTGCCCCGGGTTGGGGGGCTGCCTGGAAGGATGCTCCCAAGAGCCCCACACTTTGGTCTGAGGGGCTTGAGACACAGCTGCAGTTGGGGGGCCTGTGGGGTTACCAGCTGCCCTTAGGCCACAGCACGGGGACCGGCCCCTCTCGCCTCCCTGGAGGGGTGTCGGGGGAGGGGCAGGGTGGGCTCAGCGCCCTCCCCGCGGACCCCAGGCTCCGCTGGGCGGCGGGGGCGAGGCCGCTGACCGCCCTGTCCCACAGGTTCTCGCGCTCGGACGAGCTATCGCGACACCGGCGCTCGCACTCGGGCGTGAAGCCCTACCAGTGCCCCGTGTGCGAGAAGAAGTTCGCCCGCAGCGACCACCTGTCCAAGCACGTCAAGGTGCACCGCTTCCCGCGCAGCAGCCGGCTGCAGCGGCCCTGACCCGCCCCCTAGCGGCCTCCGCCTCCGCCCGGCGCTCTGTAGCAATAAGTTATCAGCCCCCGTTGGAGGGACGTGACGCCCATCTGGGCCACCTGGAGCCCGGGGGTGCGGACTCAGCACCGCCACCTCCCCGGGGACCCGGAGGCGCCCGCGCCGGCCGGAGGCAGCCTGCACGCCCCTCGCCTTCCGAGGCCCACCCCCCTCCCGCCGGGCTCCCCGCCTGGGCCGGGGCCAGCACTCGATTGCCGGGGAAGGAGAAGTGCGCAGTGTTGAAATGTCAGTTCCCGGAGGGAGCCTGCAGGGAAGAAGGAAGTAGGCCAGAAGTCCAGGCTGCACTATGGCGTGGGCGTGGCTCCATCCCCGGCCTGACCACCAGAGGGCGGACAGGGGCGGTGCAGGGGCGGGACCTGGCCGCCCGGTGGCTGTGGGCTGGGTGAAAAGGCCCCTCTCGGCAAGGTGGCAGTGCATGTGCTTGAGTTAAACATGCAGGACAGACGGACAGACGCAGGTCTGCCCCAGGCTGACGGTGCCGTGTGGCCCATCCCCTCGTCCTGTTTGCAGACAAATCCAGAAGGCACCTCGGATCACCTTCAGGAGGAGAGGGCTGGTGTAGAAGAGCTATGTAGAGCCTCCCAAATCCTGATTTAGAAGTGCATTCCTTATTTTGTCTAGAAATTAATATCAAATGTACTAGTTTGTTTTGAGAGGTTTATTTCACATCCTATGAATGTATGTAAATAAAATGTACATAGGTGCATTGACATAAAATCTTTTAATAACATACCAACATTGTGTAAATTTGAAATAAAATCTATAAAGCTGGTGTACATATGTTACAATTATGTATATTTTCTTTTGTCCTTCATAAAAATATATTTGCCAATAAAAAGAAGAACTTGATAACTCTGGCTTTGGCGTGCTGTTTTCCTTGTCCCTGCCGGGAAGTGGAGTGATTCTGGGGGCTGAATCTGCTTTGCCACATGTGGGGGACCCTGGCTTGCACCCCGAGCGACACAAGGGCTCCGTGGATGTCCGGCCCCTGGTCCACCAGTGCAGGGTCCCTGCACCGCCACCTCCGCACCCGAGGCTGGGCGTATGCTCCTTCTGTGTCCCAAGGGCTGTCTGCTCCACAGACCCATGGCCACCCGATCCCAGCTCACTTGTGGGGAGAGACCACAGGCGGGCCCAGCCCGCAGGGCCGCCACCCCGCTGAGCTCCTGTCTGAGGCCTTGCTCGGCACCTCCTACCTTGTGTGCAGTGCACTGAGCATCGATTATGTGCCCACTGTATCCACCGGGAAAGGGACAAACAACTCTTCCGGGAAATGGCACGTGATGGCCACTTGCAATTCTGAACGGATCAAGCGTCTTGACTGGGTGGAGGCAGTGCCTAGCGTGAGCTCTGCAGATGAGGCCTCGGGCCGGCACCAGCCTGCTTCTCTGTCCACGTGCCCTGGGGGCTGTCAGTGACAGCCTCGGGCCTGGAGCTGGAGGTGGAGCCCCGCGGGTCTGCAGGGGAGATTCGAGGGAGGCGTGCGCGTGTGTGTGTGCACCGTGTCTCCTGCGGTGCAGGCCCTCGTCCCCGCTGACCTGGGAACCTCCTGCTGTAGCCATCTGTCTGTCCAGCAGAGCACAGCGCAAGTGCAGAACGGACGCCCCATCCCTCCTGGTCCTGGGGCGAGGACCCGCCTTGTGACCCGTGCCCTTTGACCCTGACCGGACACACTCCCTGGGGGCAAACATGCCCTGGGGAAGCGAGGCGTCCATCCCCACAGAGGTGTCTTCTTCATCCATAGAGAAGCGGCCCAGTTACACGGGTCCTGGGGGCTGAGGACAGTCACATGGAGGATCCGTGAGCACGTGTGTGTACACGCCTGGGTGCCAGCTGGACACGGCTCACCTCTCCACGTGCGTCCTCAACGGCCACCCGCTTGGGTCCTCGGCCCCCGGCCGGCCTCTGTCGAGGCCCAGTTAGGTGAGCACTGGGAGATGTGCAGTGCTGTCGGCCGCCTCCTGGGTCCCCTGTGCCCCAGAGATGCCTCTGCCTGTGAGAAGGCAGTTTAGAGCACGTGGTTTACTCATTGTCCGTAGACTGTGTGCCACACGGACAGGCTTTGTGTCAATCCAGATCCTAGAATATGTATCATCATACTGAGCTGTAAATTCTGGTCTCTGGGCACCACAATTTACTTATCAATTAAATTTAATGGTAAGTTACCATTAACTAGCTTTAAGATTGTTCCCACATGTTTGCTGTGATATGTAATGATACAAAACAGAACAGACATTGCACATAGCTTCATATACAACTTTTAATGGTGGGTTTGCTGGGTCAAAGAGCAGGCCAGTAACTTTTGCCAAATTACCATCCAAAAATCAATTGCACTGGGAACATAATTTACTCACGCATTCAGTGTATTATCTGTTCTTCCACACTAGAACATGAACTCGGGAAGAAGGGTTTTGCCTGTTATGCTCAGCACTGAGCCCAGCTCCCCAAACAAATATTTGTTGAGCAAATGACGTGGGTGGTAAGCAAGCGCTATGGCTAAAATTGGGATAAGACATAGAGGTTAAATATACAATTTAAAGTTAAAAAGTCATCAGCAGAATACTGGCTCCAAGGATTGTTGTTCAGTCGCTCAGTCGTGTCCGCCTCTTTGTGACCCCATGGGCTGCAGCATGCCAGGCTTCCCCGTCCTTTACCATCTGCCAGAGTGTGCTCAAACTCATGTCCATTGAGTTGCTGTTGCTGTCCAACCATCTCACCCAAGGATGTCTGCATCCTAATCTCCAGAACCTGAGACTATGCTTCCTTCTGTGGCAAAGGGGACTCTGCAGATGTAATCAAGTCAAGTCCAGATTCAGTTCAGTGCAGTCACTCACTCGTGTCTGACTCTCTGCGACCCCTTGAACCACAGCATGCCAGGCCTCCCTGTTCATCACCAACTCCCAGAGCTTGCTCAAACTCATGTCCATTGAGTCAGTGATGCCATCCAATCATCTCATCTTCTCTCATCCCCTTCTCCTGCCTTCAATCTTTCCCAGCGTCAGGGTCTTTTCAAATGAGTCAGTTCTTCGCATCAGGTGGCCAAAGGATTGAAGCTTCAGCTTCAGCGTCTGTCCTTCCAATGATTATTCAGGACTGATTTCCTTTAGGATGGACTGGTTGGATCTCCTTGCAGTCCAAGGGACTCTCAAGAGTCTTCTCCAGCACCACAGTTCAAAAGCATCAATTCTTCAGTGCTCAGCTTTCTTTATAGTCCAGTTCTCACATCTATACATGACTACTGGAGAAAGGAGAGATTATCTGGGATTATCTCGTGAGCCCGAGGTAGTCACATGGGTCCTTTAAAGTGAGGGTCCCCCCCGCCCCCCAGCCACACACGAGGTGAGTGCAGGCAAGTTAGTGGAGCTCCATCTGTATTTACGGCCTCTCCCCATCATTGGGGTTTCCACCTGAGCTCCATGTCCTGTCAGATCATCCAGGGAGTCAGATTCTCCTAAGAGCGCGAACCCTACTGTGACCTGAGCACATGAGGGGTCTGGGTTGCGGCTCCTTCTGAGAATCTGAGGCCGGACAATCAGTGGCGGAGCTGAGCTCTGGGGAGCATCTGCAGGTACCAATGATCACGATCACATCACAACATATAAGGTGCTAGAAGCATCCGCAAATCATCCTTCCCACTCCAGTCTATGGAAGAATCGTCTTCCTTGAAACAAGGCCCTGGTACCAAAAAGGTTGGGCATTGCTGCCTTAGAGCAGCTCAGGAGGCGAGGTGGTGGGCAGAGGTCAGAGGCTGGGAGCTCTCACTCTGCTGACTGAGGAGGGGGAGCAAGGGACTGCAAGTCGAGGGGCAAGGTGCCCCTGAAAGCGGGAAGAGGCGAGCAGACGTTCTGCCCTGGAGCCTCTGGAGGGGAACAGCGGTGCGGACAGCTTGATTCTCTGTCTGACCTCAGAACCGCGAGCGGAGGAATGGGTGTTGTTTCAAGCACCACTTTTCTGGGAATTTTCACAGTGGCAGTAGGAGACTGATGCAGGTGACACAGGAGAATTAGGGTCAACATTCGATTCCCAGACACTGTGCTGTGCAAGAAAGAGGCGGGAGGGTGGGGTGGGGCGGAGGCGACTGAAGGCGCCGCTCTCCTCATAGGGAGCCTCGGCCGAGTCAGCAACTGAACACACAGGTGGTTTAGTTCCAGGTTCGGGAGGGGGCACTGAATCCTAGGATGCAAAGCACCACCTCCTGGGTGTGGGGTGGGGCCACGTGACCCCTACATGAGCCCCTGTGACCCCCGCTCTGGCACCACGCCCCCTGACCTGCTCTGAAGGCTCCTGGCAGTGGTGCCCGCCTCCCCGGAGGTGCAATGGGGCAGTCAGAGCCTGCTGGGCTCCAGGCCAAGGTGAGCTGGTGGGGCCAGGCTGGGGGACACACAGGAGACAGAAGTGCTTCCTGGGAACCTGCTTATATCAGCCCCTACACAGGCGGCCCTGCCTGGCAGCAGGTACCGGGGTTTCCAGGCATGCTTTATGCCCCTCTGTATGCCCTCTAGGTCTCTGTGTGTGCTGGGCACAGCTCCAGCCTGGGGCCAAGGCCCGATCACTTTGTGGGGCTCCTGGCCTCCGGACGTGGCTTCCCTAGCATGTCCACGCTCTAGAGCCTCAGCTTCCTCACCGGTCAGTGGGAGTTGGCAGGGTCCCCTGCCAGTGGAACTTCAGGTTTCAGGGGACCCTTGGGGATGACTCCTCCTGGGTCTGCCACCAGTGGGTACTGAGGGGGCTCAGCTCCCCCGGGTCTGTTGTTGGGAGCAGCTGGTGGCAGGGCGATGTGAGGGCCATGGGCTGAGCACCTGCCCTTGGTGGCTGGCCCCTGGGGGAGACAAGCCCCTCCCTGTGTCCCACTCTGCTCACCACCCAGCACGTGTGCACCCTCCTGCAGACACCCCAGTGAGGTCTACAGTGGGCTGGGGAACTGAGGGCCGCACGTGAGTTGTTACATTTGTGGTTCCGTCCACATACTGGGTTGCTGAACCACAGGAGGATCAAGTCTGTCCGCTGCTCTAACGAAATGCTCTAGAAAGAGTTTTGAGGCCAGCCAAGTCGACACAGAATGTTTCAGGAACACAAGCAAAGCTTAACACTCCCACTTCAGGTGGGCCTGTCACGGAGGGCCCCTTGGAGGAGGTGATGTCAGAGTGGGAGGAGCCTTGGGAGGAGCAGACGGAAGGGCAGTCAAGCCAGAGACAGCAGGTGCAGAGGCTCCAGGGCAGGAGTGGGCCTGTGTGTCTGAGGCCTTGAGCCAGGCGGCGAGCAGGGGGTCGAGGGCAGGCAGGGCTCCCCAGGGTGTGGCCACCCGCAGTAAGACGTCACCTTTTGACTCAGCCAGCTTTCCTGTGACCAGAACAAGCCCTGACCCGGGAGTCCGTGCTCTGCTCCCTTTTCTGCCGTTCCTTCTGCCTCAGCATCATCTACAAAAGAGAGAGAAGGAAGGAAAAAGTATCCAACCCGGTCACTCAACCCTCTGCCTGCTGATTCAGCTTGCTGTCTCCTAGGTGGTGTAGAGACTTCTGGGTTCTCAGCGCAGTGGTAGCCAACTGCTTCAGAGACGGAGGGACTGGACCAGATTCAAGTTTCCGGAGGGTCTCACTATCGTGTGTAAAACTGTGAGGCCCTCAGTGCGGTCCCCGGAGCCCCTGAGGAGTAAGACAGCCCACCCAAGGGGCAGAAGTCGGTGACTGTGACTTCACTACAAGACTCCTGGGTTGGGGGGCAGGCAGGACAGGGCAGGGGCTGTGGGGCATGCCAGGAATCACCCCGCCCTGGGTGGGACAGAGTCCCACCCCCTGGCCTGCTGGGGCCTCCTGCTGGTTGAAGCCCCGCAGGTCGGCCTCCAGGACCTGGCC